TTTCCCCTTTGCCCTATCTAGAGTTCATTTAATCCTCCCATCCCCCACCCCCTTAAACCTTTCTCTTTAATGGGTTTATTATAATAGAATTTTACTTATTCCCTTATGTATTTTTGTTTTTAATTTTTTTAATGCTGGGGATTGAACCCATGGCCTTGCACATGGTAAGCATGTGCTCTCTACTGACTGCACCCCCAGCCTTACTTGTTCTTTTAAAATTTATTTATGTACACTAATTTATTCTTTCCTTCCTTTTTTTTTTCTTCCTTTTTGTTTTTCTTTCCTTTTTCTCCTTGTGGTACTGGAAATTGAATCCAGACTTTGCTTATGCTAAGTAAGTGCTCACCGCTAAGCTCTATTTCTAATCCCTACTCTATTTTCTTTCATTTCATTTTAATTTGTTCTAATTAGTTATATATGACAGTAGAATTCATTTTGACACATCATACATAGAGTATAACTTCTCATTCTTTAAAAAAAATTTTTTTTTTAAGTTGGACACGATACCTTTATTTTATTTATTTATTTTTATGTGGTGCTGAGGATCGAGCTCAGTGCTTCGCACATGCTAGGTGAGCGCTCTACCACTGAGCCACAACCCCAGCCCATAACTTCTTATTCTTCTTGTTGTACATGGTGTAGAGTTACACTGGTTGTATAATCATCTGTGCACAAAAGGTAATAATGTCCGATTCATTCTACTACCTTCCTACTCTCTTACCTCCTTACTTCCCTTTACTTCCTTCTGTCTAATCCAAAGTACCTCTATTCTTCCCTAGTCTTCCCTTATTGTGAATTAACATCTACTTTTTTTAAAATTTGTTTTTAGTTGTAGATGGACACAATACCTTTATTTTATTTATTTTTATGTGGTGCTGAGGATGGAACCCAGTGCCTTACATGTACTAGGCAAATACCCTACCACTGAGCCATAACCTCAGCCCTGTACTCTGTTTTCTACTTATCCCTTTTTTTTCTTTACCTCTTAGAAGTGATTAGTATAGTAAAAAAAAAAAAAGAAAAAAAAAAGAAGTGATTAGTATAGTCAGATTTCACCTTGATTTGTACAGTTCTCAGCTAATGATTTTTGTGTTATCAATTTACAATTATCAGGCTATTATTAAACAACTTATCAATGCTCTGTTTATGATTTTTCCTTATGTCTCTCTCATACTACTTGSCTTCTCTTTCTGAAATCTTTAAGTACCTAACATTTAAAAAGTCAAGAAAGGGTGGGGATGTTAGAGTTTTTAAGCAAATGAATTAAATCGAAAACCAATGTGATGGAGTCTAAGGGAAAGAGGTTGCAGAGAAAAGGAATACTAATATAGAAACATGAAAAATGATCTTGTGGTGCAGCTGACAAAATGYTTTTAGGGACTGTTTAGAGTAGTCCAAATATGTTGTTATTGGGCTGGGGATGTGGCTCAAGTGGTAGCGCGCTCACCTGGCATGCGTGCGGCCCAGGTTCGATCCTCAGCACCACATACCAACAAAGATGTTGTGTCCGCCAAAAACTAAAAAAAAAAAATGTTAAAAAAAATTAAAACAAACAAACAAACAAAAAAACAAATATGTTGTTATTAGCTTTTTGTCAGTGGGACAACA